TACAAATGGAACATAATGAAAGCACAGTGATTCATCACAAAAACAATATGTAATTATATATGTGTTTTCCGATGGTCTTAGGCGAGCCCTGTGAAAGGGTCATTTGACCCCAAAGGGGTCGCGACCCACAGGTTGAGAACCGCTGCTTTAGGACAATTGGTTAATAAAAAGCAAGGGGTCCTGGGACAAGCAGAACTTGGTTCCTATAGCCAAGCTCCTCTGGCTCCTCAAAAGGCCTTCCAAAATTATGTTTCGTCTCTAGACTCTAACAATTTACAGCAGCCCCTTCTCCAGATTCCTGAACCCCTCTAGATGCTGGACAAGACCCCCGGCATTACTTTCCCCATCCAGGGAAAACAAGAGACTTCGGGTCCAGTTACATTAGCAATTCCTACATTTCCCTCTTTTAATGTCAACTTGCCGGCCAGGGAGTTCCACTTTGAAAAACCTGTGGTGTGCCCTGGCTGGTCAGTGGTTAGAGCGTCAGCCTGTGGACCAAAGGGTCTCTCTCTCGGGTTCAATTTCTGGTCAAGGGCACATCCCTCGATTGCAGGTTCCCCAGCCCTGGTAGGGGCATGTGTGTCTGTGTGAGGCATCCCATTGGAATGCCTCACGTAGCTATTCCTCTCTCTCCCCCTCCCCCCTCCCTTCCACTGTCTCTGGAAATGAATGGGAGAAAAATCCTCAGGTGAGGATGAAAACAGCAACAACAAACGGTGACATTCTGCCAAATGAGCCAAGTCTTTATTTCAAAGAGGAATTATTCACATGGCGGAAAGTTTGTTTCTCTGGTTATCTGTTTTTATTCATCTTCTTTGAGCTTTGCCCCACGTGAAGCCGAAGACGGGCCTTCTTTTTCTCCGCTTTACTTTTACGTCTTAAGAAATCGGTGTCCCTGTGGTGCCTCGTGGAGGCTGGGGAGATCCCTTTCAGGAGGGTGTACAAGAAGTAGGCAGGGATGGGCAAGATGGTGAAGACAGTGAGCAGAGCGAGCAAGACTTTCCCCCACGGCGGATAATTACGGAGCTCTTCGTTCGACTGTGGAGAAGAGGGAGGAAGGTTGAGAATGCCAGGTTATCTGAAGTGAGATGCAGAAGGTGGGGGTAGGAGATGAACCAAGGCAAGAGACCAGATCACTGAATCCCCAGGGAATAAGATGATTGGGTCCCAGAGGCAAGAGTGGATTGAAAAGTCTGTCCCCATTCCCTAGGGAGGGGTGGGGGGTGTCCGGGGTCTGTGGAGGGAACTCACAATGCTTGAGTTCCAGGCCATGTAAGTGATCGGCTTCACATACAGATGAATCAGGATGATTACCAACAGGACCAGCAGCACAAATGGAGACACAAAGCACCATAGCCAACGAAAAATGGGGGAGATGGGGCGCCCCAATATGATAATCAAGTCTGCAAGGAACCTGGGAGGAAGGGTCATCAGGCTTTAGAAGGGCCCTTCCGGCCTGACCCAGCTCTGGGGAGGGGTCAGCCCAAACCCAGCCTCCGAAAGACCCCTTCACATTTCTTAGACCTTTCTGTTCATCTCCAAACCAGTCTTCTTACCTCTAAAATCCATCCCTTTTCAGGCTAATTTCTGTCCCAGCCCCAGAATTAAAAATATATATATATATATTTTTTCACCTTCAGGATGAAGCCAAGTTCCTAAATGTAGCTTCTTTAAGCCCACGTACCCCGCTATCTTTAGTAATGCGATACCTTCTTAGGCGCATTACATACGCAAATCAGGTTCCTTCTGCCTAGAATGCTCATCTCTTTCCCTTGATGAACTCCCCTCCATCTGTCCAGATACTGTTTAGGCAACCCCTCATTGCCTGACTCTCTGGTCCTCGATTGCTAACCACCTGTGTTTCTCCAGCACCCTGGGCTGCCTCAACCATAGGCTTACCACCTGCCCCAGGATCTGCTTCTGTGTCTTCCTCTTTGGACTCTGAGAGAAGCAGCTAAATATAATTTCTCCCAGTATCCTCGGGACTCACTACGAGACCTGCTTGGAACGTGGGAGGCCCTAAGTCATATTTGAGCGGGAGTCGGTGTGTGGGCGAGTGGGCCTGATGCAGAGAGCCACCGTCGCCGGGAAAGGCTGCCACCCTTGGATGACGCGGTGCTTCTCAAAGGTTAGGGCGCATCGGAATCCCTTAGGGCAGCGGTTCTCAACCTGTGGGTCGCGACCCCTTTGGGGGTCGACCGACCCTTTCACGGGGGTTGCCTAAGACCATCGGAAAACACATATATAATTACATATTGTTTTTGTGACGAATCACTATGCTTTAGTTATGTTCAATGTGTAACAATGAAATCGGGGGTCACCACAGCATGAGGAACTGTATGAAAGGGTGGCGGCATGAGGAAGGTTGAGAACCACTGCCTTAGGGTTTCTGTTAACACGCAGCCGCCGGTCTGAAGTGGAGCCTGAGGGCCTGAATATCTAACGAGCTTCCTCCATAGAGCGCACTTGGAGAAGCAAGGGCTTCCACGTTTCAGATGTCCAGACTACCCTGGTCAACAGTAGGGCTCAGGGTCCCCTACGTCCTGCTACAGACTGTTCACCACTTTGCCACTGTACATCTATTTTCTCCCCAAACCAGCCCATGTCTTTCTCCTTCCCACCCTCCTGGGAGCCGTCCATAGCCCTGGGATCAGAGCAGGAGGGGCCCAGGCTCCCCGAGGGTGCGTGGCAGGAGAGCCTGGGCTGGGGACATCACCTCCGGGCCCCATAGATCCAGGCCATGGACACATTCTCCAAGATGAGGATGAGGAAGAGGGGCAGAGAGGCCCAGTAGTCATCCAGCAGGTTCACGTAGTAGCTGCCCGAGGGCTGCACGAAGAAGCAGCTGCCCAGGAACATGGCCACGCAGACACTCACTGGAGGGAAAAAAACCAGACTGGGATCAAGGTCAGAATTCAAGCTGGGCCGGAGGAGTCCTGGTGGGGTTAAGCTACACCACGCCCGCCGGTGAGAGTGAGGTCATAGGTCAGAGCACCTGTGAGCAGCGTTGTGTGTCTCCTAAGGCAAGAGAAGGTGTCCTGGAGGGGGGTGATGATGCCCTGCAGGATCCCTTGCATGGTGCTCAGCCCCATGGTCACCAGAAACACGAAGGTGATGATGGCCCAGAAGGTGGATCCAGAAAACACAGCGATGATCTCGGTAAATGCCACAAAGGCCACACCTGGCCCCTCCATAACCTGTGAAGTGAAAGGAAGAGGGGGGGCGGGATCAGAGAGCCCGTAGAGTCCTAACTCGGCTCCTGTCCCCGCCCCCAGGAAGGGATCTGTAGCGCTGTTCGTTAGTGACTTTATAACAGTGATTCCCAAAGTGGGCGCTACCGCCCCCTGGTGGGCGCTGCAGCGATCCAGGGGGGGGGCGGTGATGGCCACAGGTGCATCTGTTTTAACTTTTTTTGTATTCCCTTTCTATTCTGAGTTCAATAAATAGTTTCATAATTTCAAACTTCAATGTTTCTAATTTACACCTTTCTTTACTATATTTTACAAAAAAGGTAGAAACATTAATACATATATCTTTCTGTTTAATTGCTATTAAAATTTTAAAAAAAATTAATTTCCAGGGGGCGCTGAGTAATATTTTTTCTGGAAAGGGGGCGGTAGGCCAAATAAGTTTGGGAACCACTGCATTGTAAGGAGGACTTCCTCCCACAACAGCTGCTGGTCTAGCATCTCTCAGGTGTTGGCGCTCGGCAGGCTTGTACGAACTCTGGCGCTTGCAGAGCCTACAATTGCCTTGTCACTAAAGGAGGCTGGTAACCTTGCTTGGTTGCCCAGTTTGCTGCTCAGAATTGCCTCCCTGGATTCTACGGCCCCTAAGGAGAGCTGGAGTTTCTAGTGCTCTGGGGGAGGTGAGGGGAACTCTAGGACTCGCCCCCCCCCGACCCCCAACCCTCACCTACCTCCTTTAATTGCTCAGATAAGTCACAATTGGACAAGTAGGGTAGGGCCACGACTTTGGCTCCTTCGGGGAGGTTGCCAAACCACCTGGGATAGGTGTAGCTCATATGCTGATACAGACTCTCTGGGAGCCGGAGCTCAGGAGGCAGCACGCCCGCCGTGACCAGGTTCATCATCCTCTCAGCATTCCTGGGGGCAGGAGTGGGAGCGTATAAAGTCAGTTGGGCCTTTAAGACAACTTCTCTCTTAGTTTTTAGACGAGAAGGAAAATCGCTAGCTTGGTCTCGGATCTGTGGTTTTCCCGAGGGCAGCGATGAGAGTCTGATTCACCACTGGCTATGTTTCCAGAACTCAACACAGGGGTTGGTCGAGAGGAGATGCTTTATAAAGAAATGTCTGATAAGCATTTTTTGAAATGAATGGCACAGGAGATGAGAATAGGGAATAGGCAGGGGACATATGTAATACTTTCAACAATTAAGAATTATTTTTTAAAAAAGAAAATAGGAAGCCAAAACCGGTTTGGCTCAGTGGATAGAGCGTCAGCCTGCGGACTGAAGGGTCCCAGGTTCGATTCCGGTCAAGGGCATGTACCTGGGTTGCGGGCACATCCCCAGTGGGAGATGTGCAGGAGGCGGCTGATCGATGTTTCTCTCTCATCGATGTTTCTAACTCTCTATCTCTCTCCCTTCCTCTCTGTAAAAAAATCAATAAAATATATATATTTAAAAAAAAAATAAAATAAAAATAGGAAATAGGCTATGGGGGTTCGTGCTGTGGGCATTTTTTTTTTTTTGTCTACTGGTTCAGTTGAAGATATCCCCTCATTTTCCCATGGCAGTCTCCAGTTAAGAATGGGGCAAACACACCTTTGAAAACATCCCAGTTTGGGGTTTTCTTCGTTTAGAAAGGCAGCTCGTAAAGAGAGAGATTTCCAATGTTTCTAAAGTTTAGGATGCTCAAATCTGAGGGACCCATGTTGACGGAGCCAACATCCCTGAGGGACGGGGGCCTAGACTAGAGTTCTACGAGCTATTTCTAAGACTTGGGTCTTTGTGACGCAATCCATACGAAATACTGGGCTCACTTCAGGTAACATTTCTCACTGTTCTCTGTGGCCAAGTAGCCCAAGGTGGCAAATACAAACAGCGTGGCAGTCAGTGAGATGACCAGGTTGAGAAGAGCCACGGCAGAGGCATCCATGATGCAGTTGTTGGACCGAGGGACGTATGAACTGATTGCAGTGAAGCTGCCAAAGCCGGAGCCCATGGACAAAAAGAGATGGTTCCCTGTCCGGCGCCACACGTCCACAGAGTACAGGGCTGGCACCTGGGGAGGAGAAGTGGCAGGTGAATTGGGATATAAAGGGGGGAGGACAGAAGACAAAAGAGGGGAACGAAAGGGGGATCTAGGTGGGCCTCTAGCAGACTACACAGTCCCTGCTACCCCCACTGGGATAAGAGGGTTAACGGGTGAGGGACACCTCACCTGGGCAGCAAACAAACTCTTGATACCAAAGTCTGCTCCTTTCAGCATGAGACTCCGGATTAGGACACAGATGAAGATGATGTAGGAAAGGAATACTGAGACATACAGCATCTGGGTAGGAAGTATGATTCTTCAAAGAAAGTTCAGCAAAGGCAAAAGTTGGGATAGTAGGGCCAAACTATTGGGAACCAGAGGTCAGATGAGGAGAAATGAGAAGTTGGAATGGCTGGTTTGGCTCAGTGGCTAGAACATCAGCCCGCAGACGGAAGGGTCACGGGCTAGATTCCCAGTCAAGGGTACGTACCTTGGTTACAGGTTCAATGCCGGCCCTGGTCGGGGCAGGAGCGGGAGGCAACTAATCGATGTGTCTCTCTCACATTGATGTTTCTCTCTTTCTGTCTCTCCTCTCTCTCCCTCCCCTTCCACCCTCTCTAAAAATCAGTGGAAAAAATAGCCTATAAAAAAGCTGTGGGACATTTAAACAGTGGAATACTATGCAGCTGTAAAAAAGAGGGGTCTCTTACCCTTGGAGACAGCATGGAGGGACCTAGAGACTATTATGCTAAGTGAAATAAGCCAATCTGAGAAAGACAAATATCACATGATCTCACTTATTTATGGAATCAAAGAACAAAATGAATTGTCCCACAAAATAACACCCAAAGCAGGGAGAATGGGACAGACTGACATACCTCAATGTGGGGGTGGGAGGACAAAAAGAGACAAACCGAATAACTTATATGCATAGCCCATGGACACAGGCAATAGGGTGGTGAAGACCTGGGGGAGTGGGTAGGAGCTGGGCAAAGGCAGGTAGTGGCAGGGAAATGGGAGACATCTGTAATACTATCAACAATAAAAAACATATATTAAAAAATTATGTTCTTTTATTAACATGCTAGAGGCCCAGTGCACGAAATTCATGCACAGGGGCGGGGCCCTCAGCCCGGCCTGCAACCTCTGCAATCCGGGACCCTTCGGGGGATATCTGACTGCCTGTTTAGGCCTGATCCCTGCATCGGAAATCCCTCTCACAATCCAGGACTGCTGGCTCCTAACCGCTCACCTGCCTGCCGGCCTGGTCGCCCCTAACTGCCCTCCCATGCCAGCCTGGTCACCCCTAACTGCCTCTGCCTTGGCCCCCACCACTGTGGCTTTGTCCGGAAGGACATCCGGATGGATGTCTGGAAGATGTCAGTCTAATTAGCATATTACCCTTTTATCAATATAGATATCTCTAAGCAAGAACATCTAATCTAATAAAAGACAAACATGCAAATTGACTGTACCTTCACTACACCTTAAGCCATGCCCACCAGCCAATCAGAGTGACTATATGCAAATTAACCCAACCAAGATGGCGGCTGGCAGCCACGGAGCTGGAGTGAGCAGGAGGCTTGGTTGCTCCAGTGATGGAGGAAGCCAAGCTTCCTGCCTGCCGTGGCCGGCTCTGAGCTCCACTCAAGGCAACAAAGTTTCAATTATAGAAGATAAATAAACCCCAGATACCTGCTTTCAGCCGGCCGTGGCCACAGAGCTGGAGCGAGCAGGAGGCTTGGGTTGCCCCTGGTGATGGAGGAAGCCAAGCTTCTCACCCACCCTGGCCGGCTCTGAGCTCCACTCAAGGCTACAAAGTTTCAATTATAGAAGGTAAATAAATCCCAGAATAAAAGAAAAAAGAAAAAAAGGAGAGGCTGGGAGCTTCTGTCACTGGGGGGCTTGGCCAGCCTGAAAACGGCCCTCAGCCCCTCACCCAGACTGGCCAGGCACTCCAGTGGGGGACCCCCCCCCACCCTAAAGGGGGTGTGGCCAGCCTGCAAACAGCCATCAGTCCCTCACCCAGGCTGGCCAGGCACCCCAGTGGGGACCCCCACCCTGAAGGGGATGTGACCAGCCTGCAAACAGCCATCAGCCCCTCACCCAGGCTGGCCAGGCACCCCAGTGGGAACCCCCACCCTGAAGGAGGTGTGACCAGCTGCAAACAGCCATCAGCCTCTCACCCAGGCTGGCTAGGCACCCCAGTGGGACCCCCACCCTGATCCAGGACACCCTTCAGGGCAAACCAGCCAGCCCTCACCCATGCACCAGGCCTCTATCCTATATAATAAAAGGGTAATATACAAACTGACCCTAACAGCAGAACGACTGGGAATGACTGGTCACTATGACACACACTGACCACCAGGGGGCAGATGCTCAATGCAGGAGCTGCCCCCTGGTGGTCGGTGCGCTCCCACAGGGGGAGCTCTGCTCAGCCACAAGCCAGGCTGATGGCTGCCAGTACAGTGGTGGTGGTGGGAGCCTCTCCCGCCTCCTCAGCAGCGCTAAGGATGTCCGACTGCAGCTTAGGACTGCTCCCCGCTGGCAAGTGGACATCCCCTGAGGGCTCCCGGGCTGCCAGAGGTATTTCTGATTGCCAGCTTAGGCCCAATCCCCCGGGGAGCGGGCCTAAGCCAGCAGGTGGTCATCCCCCGAGGGGTCCCAGACTGCGAGAGGGCACAGGCCAGGTTGAGGGACCCCTCCCGAGGGCACAAATTTTTGTGCACTGGGCCTCTAGTTTTAAATAAAAATTCAGGTTAAAAAAATATATCCTCACTCCTCAGGTGAAAAAATTTTTAAAAGCCCAGCTGGTGTGGCTCAGTGGTTGAGCATAGACCTGTGAACCAGGAGGTCACAGTTCAATTCCCGGTCAGGGCACATGCCCAGATTGTGGGCTCGATCCCCAGTAGGGGGTGTGCAGGAGGCATCCAATCAATGATTTTCTCTCATCATTGTTGTTTCTCTCTCTCTCTCTCTCTCTCTCTCTCTCTCTCTCATCCTCTCCCTTCCTCTCTGAAATCAATAAAAATATATTTTTAAAAAAGAAGTTGGGGCCTACAGGCATCAAGTTTGGAGAATAATAGGGGTCTCAGGTAGAAAGGAGTCCATCAGATGAGTAAGTTAGAGGGGAACTCACCTTCCCGGTGGACTTGAGCCCTTTGATCATACAGATGCAGATAATTAACCAGGTCGCAAGTAGAGAGGCAGAGAGATGCACGATTGGTAGCCCACCCAACTCGATTTCATCTGTGGTCTTCAGCACATGCCGGTACCAGAAGTATGTGGTGGATGTTGTCCGTGAACATTCGGGATCTGAGGTGAACTGGCCATGGGGGAAACTGCAAACCCAGGTTCCTCCCCTTCTTTTCCTCCACCCACTCCTTCCCATCCCATTTCATCTTCCATCTGCTTGTCCATCTATCTCAATGATCCTCTTCTTCCTTCATCCCCCTTTCCTCTTCTCAGCCCTCCCGCTTGCCCTTTTCTTCCCTCCCTTCTCACCAAAACTGGAGTTCTTCGTTAAGGGGCACAAGGACCACGGCAGGGGAGACTGGAAAGACTGAACCAAATAGTAGAGACTCCAAGCCATGAGCACACTATAGTACAAGCCCACGATGAAGCACACCTAGGGACCATGAAGAATTCTGGAGGCAGGGGAAGAAAGATAGGCCAGCAGGAGGGAGGGAATTGGACAGAGGATTGGGGAACTGAAGGGACTTGGCCCACTGAGATGAAATCAGGGGACCCATTCCAGGACAAGGGTTGGGATGAGGGTCAGTGTAAAGGGTCGGCCTGGGCAGCCCAGGGCTCCTCACCATGAAGCTGCTATACCCCACACCACCAAACCAGGGGCTCATGTTCTTCCACACACCAATGCTGCCCTGATGCATCCTCTGACCGACTGCTATCTCCATCACGAGGAGAGGAAATCCGACCAAAATCAGCATCAGGATGTAGATGATGATAAAGCTCCCTGTGCAGGGGATTCAGGAGGGCCTTGAGGAACATCTGGTTTTTTAAGTCCCTGGCCTTTTCTGGGAGTCCAGGAAAACACATTCCCTACCAGTGACCTCCCTCAGGGCCAAGGGCATCAGGCTTCAACTCTTTCCACATCCCTCACTGTCCCAGGAGTCCAGTCCCTTATCCCCCAGGTCCTAGAAGACCCAGATACCTAGTTTCTACTCCGACTCCTGACCCAGACCTCCAGCCCCACCTTATGAACCCAAGTATTCAGATATCCTGTGCTCACCCTCCCAAGGTTCTATGTATTCACATACTTGGCTCTTGCCCCATTCAGGACCCCAAATCCCCATCCCCTACCGATCCCAGAGACCCCAGAGAAGCCAGAACAAGCCTCTGGCTCCTTGACCCTTCATGGGTTCGAGACTCCTCCTCCCCAGGCTTACCACCTCCGTTGTGAAGACACAGATAAGGAAAGCGCCAGATGGTGCTCAGCCCAACAGAGTAGCCCACCTGGGCCATGAGGTACTCAACCTTATTGGCCCAGGATGGTCGGTCAGTGACGTATTCGTACTTTGGCTCATCTTGGTCTATGGCCTCCAGTGGTTTCTCGATTTCTTCATTAAACCAATCCATACCATGTTCTTCCCCATTCAATTCCTCAGTAGGCAACACCTTGGCATTTTCGGTTGGGGGAGCTGAGGTCGTAGCAATCACAGGCTTGGAATCTGAAGGTCCAGCAATCACGGGTTTGGAATCGGGAGAGCTAGACATCTGGGCCTTCTCATCCTGGGACTCCATGTTTTCAATAACATTCATCATTCTGAGAAGGCTCTAGTTCCTGCTTCTGCAAGGATGGGGCCTCCTTCCTTCTTGACCTTAAGGACATCAAGAACTTTAAATTTGAGCTGTATGAGTTGAGGAAAGACAAGACTAATCTTACAAAAACCCTGAGGCTTGCCTGGATGGCATGGCTTAGTGATTGAGCATCGACCTATGAACCAAGAGGTCATGGTTTGATTCCCAGTCAGGACACATGCCCTGGTTTCGAGCTCAATCCCCAGTGTGGGGTGTGCAGGAGGCAGCTGATCAATGATTCTCTCCCATCATTGATGTTTCTCTCTCTCTCCTGCTCCCTTCCTCTCTGAAATCAATTTAAAAAGACATTTTTTCAAAAAGGATTACAAGAGAGTACTGTGAACAATTGTACACCAAAAAAAAACCGTGGACAATCTAGATAAAATGGAAAACTTATAGAAACAGAAAATCTACCAAGACTAAATCACAAAGAAATAGCAAATCTGGCCCTGACCGGTTTGGCTCAGTGGATAGAGCGTCGGCCTGCGGACTGAAGGGTCCCGGGTTCGATTCCGGTCAAGGGCATGTACCTTGGTTGCGGGCACATACTCAGTAAGGAGTGTGCAGGAGGCAGCTGATCGATGTTTCTCTCTCATGGATGTTTCTAACTCTCTATCCCTCTCCCTTCCTCTCTATAAAAAATCAATAAAATATATATATATAAAAAGTAGATTAGTGGTTGTCTTAGGCTGGGTTAAGGGGCTGGGGCAATTGGGGTGATGGCTAAGAGGTGTGGGGTTTCTTTTTGGGATAATGAAAATGTATTAAAATGGACTGTGGTGCCATAACCGGTTTGGCTCAGTGGATAGAGCCTCGGCCTGCGGACTGAAAGGTCCCAGGTTTGATTCCAGTCAAGTGCATGTACCTTGGTTGCAGGCACATCCCCAGTAAGGGGTGTGCAGGAGGCAGCTGATCAATGTTTCTCCCCCATCGATGTTTCTAACTCTCTGTCCCTCTCCCTTCCTCTCTGTAAAAAATCAATAAAATATATTTTTTTAAAAATGGACTGTGGTGGTGGGTGCACAACTCTGTGATAGACTAAAAACCACTGAAGTGTACACTTTAAATGGGTGAATTGTATGGGATGTGAATTATATCTCAATAAAGCTGTTAAAAAATAAAGCTACCAGGAAAAATCGAGACTAACAAGAAAATCTGAGTATTGACTGGGTATTTGATATTAGGATTACTCTTATTTATTTTAGGTGTGATACATTTTGTCAGGTGTTCTAAAGTGTTCTTGTATTTCAGAGATTTGCTTCAAAGTAATGAGAGGCATGCTGTGGGGTGAGGAGAGATGAAACCGGGTTGGTCACCAGTAGGTCAACTGAAGATGGCTGATGAGTACAAAAGTAACTCATCGTTACGCTTTTGTATGTGTTTGAAGATTTTCCCAAATAAAAGGCCCAGAGGCCACAAGACATGAATCTTTGTCCGGCTCTCCCCCTCACTCATGGTGTGAGCCCCTCTTTCTTCCGGGTCTCCTGATGGAAACTGAAGATGACATACCTGTACTTCACACCATTCTTGTGAGGCATAAAAGTGAAGGTATGTGCGAGGTACCCTACCGAGGGACGGGCCTTCCCTTTGTCTAACGAGGCCAGAAATGCCCGACAGCGGCCCAGAAGACAACCTGCTCCTGCTCAAGGTGCCAGAAACCGCACTTGATGCAGTGAGGACCCCGGGCCTCTGCAGAGAAGAACCCATGATAGAAACCAGTCTCCCGCCGTGGGATAGTCCCAGTTGAAACAACCCTGCGAAGGACCTTCGACAAGAGGCCTGAGAAAGAGAAATCTAGAGGAGGAGGAGGACACGCGCCAAGAGCTTCATTCCGCTCCCATCGGTTCACCCGGTGAGGCCCTGCTTCTCAGTACCTCCCCCACAGGCTCTGCTCCCACAGCTGGATCTGGAGGTTGGGGGGGCGGGGGGGCAGAAAGGAGGATGAACACCTGGGTTCCCCAAAGGAAGGCGCTTGGACACTCAGGCTATTTGATCGTGAGAAGGTGACGGTGTCCTCTCCCCCAGCCCTCCCTTACCTGACTCAATAGCACGAGTCCTCGGGGGACAGGTCGTTTGGGAGGGGGCGGGGCCACAAGGTGCGGGAGCCAATGGGCGGTGACGCCCACCCTCGAGCTGGAGGAACGCGGTGAAACTGCTGAGGCCGGAGACGTTGGGCATCTCGGCTCTTCCCGCTCACCAGACCCACCCCTGGAGTTCCGCCCGCCAACGCATGGTTAGGGACGTCTGCTTTCTCTCCCTCTGTCACAGAAACGTATGCGGCGACAGTCTCCCCGTGGGAGCTGAGCAATCCGAAGTCCTGGAATTTCTTGAGCATTAAATTTTAAAGGAAACCTTCGATCTTGGGGAATCCCAACCACCTCTACCCACAAGCCCCCGTTCCTCCTCTCGGCGAACACCTCAGCTCAGCTGTGGACTCAAGCGCTCCTACAGGTTCCTTGAGACCCAGTTTCCATCCCTAAGTGAATTCATTTGCTTTAGCCTCGTGGGAAAAGGGTAACTTACACTTAGCTATGGGGCCCTGGTGGGCTCAGATCCCATGTGGTAGTTCCCAAACTGGTTGTTAGTCCACAGATCACTTCGTCTGTGTGAAGGACTTAGTCGTCAACAGTCATGAGACTCTATTTTCCCCCCTCGTTCAAAGATATTATTGATTTTAGAGAAAGAGGAAGGGCGAGGGGGAGAGAAATATCGATGTGAGAAACATGTATCTGTTGCCTCCCCGATGCACCCTGACCAGGAATCAAACCCTCGACCTTTCTGTGCATGGGACAACGCTCCAACCAACCGAGCCACACTGACCAGGGCAGTCTTGGAAACTCTAATTAAAATGTTAGACCTATGATAGGAGTACCATGTCCCATGAGCAAGCACATTAATATCCTTTCCATCTTTGTTGAAACCACCACATCCTGGGTTTGTCTTGGCTAAAGGCCAGTCCCTGGATAAAGCAAGTCAAGTAATCTAGCATCTGAATTTGCCACAGCAAGGAGAGGGCAGGGGCTCAGGTCTGAATATTTAGCTCTCAAAAGGGTGGAAGTCTCCTGCGAGTAAGACTGAATGTCTGAGACATTTATAGAAAATAAAAACAGATCTGCTCACACCCAGTGCTTGGATTGATTTATTGATCAACGGGATTACTCCTCCAGCTCCGTATCAGTCAGATTCAGTTAGCATCACTGATAGTGTGTATGTGTACACACTGAAAGGGGCTGGGAAAAATGACAGTGGCAACCCGAGGGGTCTAGGAGGGGGGCTGCAAAGCCAGGTCCCAAGAGCCCCCCAAAATAATGCTATATTCTCGGGGGGAAAAAGGAGTTCTGGGTCCCAGGCCATCACAATTGGTAGCTGGTATTAAGAGTTGCCTGTTAGATCTGCTTTGAAGGATGTGAGACGTCAGGCCACATCAAGGAAGTTGGGATGTCACACAGCTGGTGGACCAGCAGTTTCCTTACCACCTTGTGGGGTTTCCTTCTTTTGGGCCTCGTTACTGAGACTTTGGGATTTGGAGGATCTGAGAGATTCCTCCAAGCTTCTGGGTTTGAAGGGAATACCATGGGCGAAGCTGTATACGAAGTATATGAGGATGGGGAGAGTGACAATGAGGAAGATAAAAACCATTACAAGCAGCGCCCATGATGGGTATGGTCGAGGCACCTCTTTGGACTGTGGAGAGATGGGAAAGGGGTTCAGAAAATTGAAGCCCCCAGAAGAGGAAAGACCGTGGAAGGGAAGAGTGGGAGGGGAATCCGGGCAGAGGACTGAGTCTTCAGGGAGCAGAGAATGAGATGATAAGGTCCCTTTAGGTCAAGAGTGGATGGAAAGATCTGGCCCCCACTCCCTAGGAAGGTCGGGGGTCTGGAGAGGGAGGCTCACAGTGCTTGAGTCCCAGGCCACATAGGTGAAGGTCTTCAGAGACAGAAAAATCAGAATTACAGTGAACAGGACGAGCAGCACAAATGGACACGCACAGCACCACAGGCAGTGAAAGATGGGATGGATGGGGCGGCTCCACAGAGGCCCCAATTCTGCAAGGAACCTGGAAGAAAGGGCCAGGAGACTGTGGCAGGCCCAGTCGAGCCTTACCCTTTCTTGGGGGCCAAGGCCAGTCTGACCTTATTTAGCATCTTCTAAATATTCTACCTCGCTTCAGCTCTTCTCTCTTCCTCCCAACCCAAGAAAAAATGTCAACCATTCCTCTACTGCTCTAAAACCTTTCATGGGTACCCAAGGCCCTCAGGATAAAGGCCAAGTCTCTTTCATTCATCCCATAAACACGAGAGTGTCTATGATGTGCCAGGGACTATTCTAGGTGCTGGATATGCATAGTGAACAAACATAGGCCCCCAGTAAAGTTAACATGCGACCCTCGGGGAACTTTTCTTAGTTTCTTCCAGCCCATACATCCAGCCTCCTTCAGTGCATGTTCTCAAACTTAATCAATATACAAATGGGGTCCTTTGGCCTAGCCAGTGGTCGGCAAATGGCGGCTCGTGA